TCATTATTTCAACATTTTTCTAGTCATGTCAGTACTCCTACCTAGTTTTCACTTAAATGAAAGTGTATTTTCTCACTCTAACTGAAACGTCGGTACGGGTTCAACCATCCAGTTGACCAACTTATTTGTGTTACCTATAAATAAGCCGTATTTCTAGGTGTTCTAAGCATATTTTCTGTTATATATAAGACTTATTATTTTTCAATAAACTTAATTCTCCGCTACAAGTTTTTGTGTAACATTGCCGCACTGCTCAGAACGACCTAAGAATCCATGTATGCAGGCTATAATCGTGGTTTTACTTCTTATACACAATGCTTTTTTATGAACTTGTACATTCACTACGATAGGTATAGGAGAAGTGACTTGCTTGATCTGACTGAAGCTGAGGTGGGTCCTAGAGTTGCAAGTTTATCACCTGATTCAGTCATGTAATATTCTATTGATCAACGTCACGTTTAATTGAAACGGGCTTTTTGTCATGTATGTTACCGAAGCCGGTGTGTTTCTTGCTATGCGCGGTCTCTTCTAAACCTGTCGACACCGAAATTACTTATAGATCTGTTTTTGAAGCGTTGTGCTATGCCTTTAATATCTTATGCCGCGCCTATGTTTTTCGGGCTTCTTCAGAGAGATTTTGTAAAGGGGTCTCCGAACATCCTTCATTTCTTTCAGTGCAACATTAAATTTCAGCTATTGCTAATATTTTTAACAGACGCGCTCGTAGCATCCTCAGCCTGTCTGATCAAGACAATTCTTGACAACAAATTCCACCCTCAACACACCTGTGCTTTTCGAATACCTATCCAGAATATCGCGCACAATTTTTTACATATGTATACGTGATCGAGCAGTATTTTCCATTTCCATTCTTGGCAAGAATACTGGTAGCGCAATTATAGATCAAATTTATTTGTCCTTGAACGATAAACATTGGTTACTTCAGCCTTTTCATGACCATGTTTCAGTAGTTATGTATATTTCATATCTTTATCTATCGAATGTACATATATGTGACCTGTGTGGAATATGAAACCGATTAAGCTGAAGATTGACGCTGTGATTGGGGCGAATAAAGTTTTTTTTATATATTCAACACTTATTATATTGTTGATTTCATTTCGAATCATGGTCTTCTTTAATATGGTTGAAATTGCTGTCTAGCACATTGCTCTGCTTATCCCTTGTTTTTTGTGCTAAGAATCACCTGTTGAAATTTGTTAAAGTTAAAATATTACTCTAGCATTTTTAATACTCTGGAGAATAATCGTTGCTTCCCGAAAATCTTTACACGTAAAGGAATCGATTGTTTTGACAATTTTGTTTTTTTCCTGCTTTGATTTTATTCGAGGTCTCATCTTCGTTTTGAACACTCTTCTATTTATGTGGTATTTTATTTTAAGGCTTCGCGATGGGAGTGGCGTCGGTTGAGACCACGACCCCCGAAGTCAGGGCACCCTGCCCCCTGTCCGCGGCTCGGCCATTCTTTCACGCTGGTTCATTCGACCATATATTTATTCGGCGGCCTGGCGAACGACAGTGATGACCCAAAGAATAACATCCCGCGGTTTGACATTTAAGCTTCCCGTACAGTTCCTGGTTGAAACTGTATACTATACTTTTAGCTATCTAAACGACCTATACACGTTAGACCTACGGCTTGGTTCGAGCAACCTACGATGGGAGGTGCCGGTGACTTATGGAGCTTCTCCCCCGCCAAGGGAGTCGCACACATCTTGCTTCTACGATCCAGGAAACAAACCGCAGTTGATCATCTACGGAGGCATGAGTGGATGTCGTCTTGGAGATCTCTGGATTTTTGACATAAGTAATGTGCAAATACGCAGCGTCGTCACCTTGGCTATGCTGATGCTCTTTCTCATCTTTGCAGACACAATGACTTGGAATAACCCTGAAGTCGAGGGTGTACCTCCGTTGCCTCGAAGTCTTCATTCCGCAAATATTATCGGACATCGGTACAGTTATCAGTTATTATTCGATTTAAATCATTTTGGCAGTTCAATTTGCGTTTTATTGTTGGTAGTTACATTTAAAATAAATTAACAGCAAACGGAGATTACCACTATAGCCTGGCATTTGCAACTTCATTCAATCAGGGCAACTACGGACGTGGGCTGCAAGTTAAAGCCAAAACCTTAAGAGTCCTTTTCATGGTTGGTAACGGAATGCGGCAATAGGGATGGACAATTTTGAGCACCTTAAAACGGTTTAGGTGATGATTACGGTATGCGAAATATGCCAAGATCAGGAAGTGGTGAATGCCTTTTTCAAAGCAGTAGTATTGTGGTGCTAGATGGTCTGGTTACGCAGTATGTAAACATCACCTTTCCGGAAACGTCAAGCACTGTTTTCGCGAAGTATCCTCAAAGTGCGATAGCGCCGTACGTTAGCGAGCGAGAATGTATAGGCAACCACCGGTCTGATAAAATGTTAGCAAAACTAAGAAAAATTCAGGGACATACGCCTTGCTTGATTTGATAACAAAACTGCCCTAAATAAATATTCAAATATGTTGAAAACTGGTCTTTGGTGAACCGAAGTACAAAACGTAAAAAAATATCTCGTAAAGTAGAGCGACCTGTGACAAAGGGTATGAATTTTGTCGTAGCAGTGAATAATGCTTGGTATAAGTTGAGGACCACCTCAGATACGTCAGGCATTATCAATCAGGACAACTTTGCTTTCACCTTTGATTGGCGTCATAACGGTAACAACAGAAATATTGCAGATCTAACA